TATTTATACATGTTGATCATATCCCCCCTTAATCTCCTCTTCTCAAGAGAGAATAAATTCAGTTCCTCTAATCTTTCCTCATAGCTGAGCTCCTCCATGCCTCTTATCAGTTTGGTTGCTCTTCTCTGCAGTTTCTCCAGTTCCCCAATGTTCTTTTTATGAATTGGTGCCCAAAACTGAACTGCATATTCCAGATGAGGTATTACTAATGATTTGTCTGTGTGACATTTCAATTAAGCTCATTTTAAAAAAAATGTGGTGACCCGCCGGACCATACCGGATACCAACAGGTGTGTTACAATGTGTATGCACCCTAAACCTGCTAGTGCACCTAATCCTACCATCTCCCTAGATCAGGGTTCCTCAACCAGGGTTCCATGGAACTCAAGGGTTCCTCGAAATGTTGCTAAGTGTTCCTTGAGCAATGAGCAATGTCTGTCTCTCAGATAAGTTCCCATTGACAGCACTGATCTTTTTAGCTCTCTATAAGGGGATAATTCTTCCCAATGACCACAAGTGAAAGGAGCATTCTTCCCACTATCACACTAATGTATTGGAAGTTGTAGATATAGTCATTTTTAACAGAGGTTCCCTGAGACTGGGAAGTTATTTCAAGGGTACCTCTGTGTTGAAAAGGCTGAGAAAGGCTGCCCTAGATTGACATTCCCACTGTCCAAAGGTGTCCAGGAGGGAGTGCCATCCTGTTCTTTCAGACCACTCATGCGCAGTGTGTACTCTCTCCTGTTGCAGCCGCTGAGCTCATCATAGGCGACAGGAGAGAGCAGATACTGCACATGCGTGGCCGAAAGAGCAGAACGGTGCTCCCTTCTCTGGCACTAGGAGGCATGGCTCCCAATGACCATTCCATCCTTACATGGATGGAGCCATCACTGATCCCAGAGGATTTTAAGAAAGTTTCTTTTAAATGCGGATTTGGGTTTCATTCTTTAAACAGAAAAAGAGCCGTGGCTTGAAGGTAGGTTTAGCACACTATACCGCTGTACCCATATGGGCCAACTCCGGAAAATCTGAAAATTCCTCCTTGTAGTAGGCTTGCCCCACACTGCAGGGGTTAACTGCATGTTTATTCTAGGAGAGGGCTTATTCACACATACAGTTAACATAGCTGCTCCTCGGAAAAGTGATCCATTGCGCATAGGACAGTGAAAAGCTGCCTTCTCAGTGTCTGTTTTCACCCTCAAAATGCCAGACCACCATACTGCAACCATATGCATTGCATGTTGTGGGGTGGTTGTGGTGCAGCCCCATTCACTTTCAGTACCGCTGGCTGAAATCGATATACCTACAGTCCTGAGTGGTTGCATGCCCTTGTTCAAGTAGGTGGTGGGGAGGGGGGTTGAAAAAACACAACTCAACAACCTGATTTATTTCCTATTCACTTTTACTTACTTGATCCTCCACTTCCCAGACAGATGGCACTCCACCATGCTCCAGTGGTGAACTGTCCCTTGGCATCATCATGTCCAGTTCAAAGATATGGATCCTGCATCAGTCTTAATGACATCAGGACCTGGGACTGCTGGAAGGTGGGGGAGAAGCTGCTGTGGGGACCAGTCTATCAGTACTGAGGAACAGAGGATCAGGTAAGTGAATCTTCTTCTCTGTGCCCCAAGACTTAAACAAGCAGTTAAAAGAGAAGTATGGGAAACACTTTTTTTTCTAAAATCATACTTACCTAGGTGGATGCAGTATCGGCCCGATGCTGCATCTGTCCCCCACTGGCACATGAGTTCTCCCCGCCACTGTGAGCAGAGAGCGGTGACTGTCACTGGAGCGCTAGGTGGTTGAGGGGAGGGAGCGGCTGGCTCAGGCTCTCTTGCTAAGAAGCTGAGCCAGGTGCTGCTCCAGACTCTGCAGTGGATCCTGCAGGGGCATATTTGCCATGAGGCAAACAAGGCGTTTGCCTAGGGTGGCACTTTTCATGGGGGCGGCTGATTGGAGTGAGGGAGCGCCCCGAGCCAGTGAAGAGAAGGAGAGTGGCTGGACAAGGAATACAGCTGACAACTGGTAAGAGTCTGTGCTGTGCAGCCAGAATCTGGGGAGAGCAGATGGTGCTGCTGCAGCCAGGTATGCTGGCTGTGGATGGGAGAGGGAGTGAGCCCGGGCTGGAGGAGGGGTCAACAATGTAAGCATTATTGGTGTCAGGGGAAGAAATAGTGCCCCATCATCAGTGTCAGTGTGGGAGGAATAGTGCTCTATCATTGGTGTCACTGACACCAATAATGGGGCACTATCCTTCCCACTGACACCAATGATGGGGCACTATCCTTCCCACTGACACCAATGATGGGGCACTATTCCTCCCACTGACACCAATGATGGTGCACTATTCCTCCCACTGACACCAATGATGGGGCACTATTCCTCCCATTGATACCAATGATGGGACACTATTCCTCCCACTGACACCAATGATGGGGCACTATTCCTCCCACTGACCACAATGATGGGGCACTATTCCTCCCACTGACGCCAGTGATGGGGCACTATTCCTCCAAATGACACCGATAATGGAATAAAATAAGAGGTGGGACTCTTATAGGAAGAGGAGGAGCCTAAAAGGAAGGGGTGGAGTTTACAGATGAAGGGATGGATCTTAAACAAGAAGGGGTGGGGCACATTTAGATGTGGGAGGTGCCTGATTTTAGTCTTGCCTAGGGCAGCACAAAACCAAAATACACCACTGTGATCCTGACAATGTTCTTGATCCTTCCCCAGCCTGGACCGGCTCTGTGACGTCAGCCGACAGCAGCCTTCAGCCTGCTGTCAGCTGAAAAAGAGTACTGGCTGTACTTCTCTGTTAAATTTTGCTGCACTTTTTACTTTTTTCTTTTTTTAATGAACTTTATTGAAACGTCACATGGTCATCTCATAATTTTTAGCTGCTGGTCATGCAGTGCGAGGAAGTGGATTTCCTTCTCCTGCTCTAAAAAAAAAGTATTGCAGATAGTACTTTTTTTTATATAAATATAAATGGTGCAGTGGTACAAATAAAGAAAGTGATAATACATTCAAATTTAGATGGTGCAATCAAAAGTGCATAAACAAACAATATAAATGTGCAAATTACGCTCAAATGTAGCAAGAGAATGAACTATTACAACAAATATCTATGACCAATCATAAAGTGCTAGTGCATAATGCTGAATGTGAACCAAGTGATGGTGAAATAGTCTATTCAAAATAATGATGGTGAGCAAACTCCACTGTAGATGTAATTTAGCAGCATAAAAAAGTGAAACAATCTTCCATGTGACTCCTCCACCACTATGACCTCACCGGAACGTATAAGATATACAGCCTGATCAACGTTTCAGCCGAGATGGATGTCTCCAATTATTCCTCCATCTGGACCAGGAGCCTGGGTATGGACATCTTTAATGGGCAAAAAAGCTCACCACACCAAGCCAGAGATGGCCACCAATCCGATCAATGGAACTGGCAGTGTGATGTCAGCACGTAGGTCCCTCCTTGATGCGTTTCATGCACATACATGTCCTCAAAGGAACCGCCTCTTTTTTTCAGTGCACCATGCCCACACACCAACGCGGCTCAGTGGTGTGAACTGAATACATAGGGGGCAAGACATTTTGCCTTGTCCATGCAATGGGACTACACTGGAATAGCCGCCCAATGCAGCCCCACCACATGCAGGGGCATATTCACTGCAAGGCAAACAAGGCATTTGCCTAGGGTGGCATTTTTTTCTCTCTTTCTTTCTTTCTTTCTTTCTTTCTTTCTTTCTTTCTTTCTTTCTCTCCCTCTCTCTTTTTCTTTCTCTCTCTCCTTCCCTCTCTCTCTCCTCTGTCTCTCTATCTTTCTCCCTCTCTTTATTTCTTCCTCTCTCTCTTTCTCTTTCCCTCTTTGTCTCTCTCTCTCTTCCTCTCTTCCTCCCCCTCCCTCTCTTTCTTTCTTTCTTCCTCTCTCTCTTTCTCCCTCACTTTCTTTCTTTCTCTATCTTTCTCTCCTCCCTCTCTTTATTTTTTTTCTCTCTCTATCTATACATATATTTCTCTTTCCCTCTCTCTTCTCTCCTCCTTCTTTCTTTTTCTTTCTTTCTTTTTCTTCTTTCTTTCTTTCTTTCTTTTTTCTTTCTTTCTTTTTCTTTCTTTCTTTTTCTCTTCTTTCTTTCTCTATCTCCCTCTCTTTATTTTTTTTCTCTATCTATACATATATTTCTCTTTCCCTCTCTCTCCTCCTCCTTTCTCTTTCTTTCTTTCTTTCTTTCTTTCTTTCTTTCTTTCTTTCTTTCTTTTTTCTTTCTTTCTTTCTTTCTTTCTTTCTTTCTTTCTTTCTTTCTTTCCTTCCTTCCTTCCTTCCTTCCTTCCTTCCTTCCTTTTCCCCTCTCTCTTTTTTCCCCCTCTCTCTCTTTTTCCCCCCTCTCTCTTCTCTCTCTCTCTCTCTCATTTGGGGGGGGGGGGGGCACCCGATTTTTGTGTTGTCTAGGGCAGCACAAAACAAAAATACACCACTGACCACATGTGGGGTGACCCTAAGATAATGTGTGTGCAGTAAAAGACTTGGTGTGATGCAAAAGTCAGTGTAACCTGAAAGCAGTGGCCACATAGTAATTCTACCACATAATAGAGATAGTACAGGCTTGCAGCTTCTTTATCTATTTATGTATTTTATTGTAACATGTATTGGCAGTATGGACATGTCTGCGATGAGCAGAGCTCCCCTTATCCCTGGAATGTGTTGCTGCAGAAACAGATCGCTGCCTGCAGCAGAAGACGCGCAGAGTACAGAAGGGCTGTGTGCCCCCATTGGAGGGATGGGATGTACCGCACATCTGACAACCAATCGCACTTTTCCTGGGTTCCCAGAACCTCTTTGAGCTCACAGAGCGGGAGGGGCCCTAGGAGTTTAAAAGCAACTTGTCCGCCGGGGCCCCCAGAGTTATCAGCGGAGAAGAGCAGCGAGCGGAGCGAAGAGGAGACGCCGCTGATCGTGCGCCCGGGCCATCCACTTTCAGCACCATGGACAGCTCCCCGCTCCTCGTCAGATTCCTGTGTGCCAGCCTGCTCCTCTTCTGTCTGTGCCGGGGCCAGTCCTCCCGGGAGCTCTCCTCCGAAGACTTTGAGGTCAAGAAGATGCCTACATCGTCCGAAAAAGAGCTGGTCAGTCTCCCCTCCATTCCTCACATATTGCAGGCACTGAGTGCTCACCCTCTGACTTCTCCATGTAGAATAGGGAGGATCGCTCCCCATTGATCTGCAGAGGCAGTGAGTGCTCAGCTTGTCGCTGCTGTTATGCCTGCTGATTGAACTGTGTGTTCCCTTTAGGTGGAGGCAATGGAAGAGCTGCTGGGAAAATTTCAGGACAGGTACCCTATGTATCAGAAGAGAGCCCAGATCCCAATGGTGAGCTTGTTTTATCTCATTTATTACATTGAACTTATTAAGGGTGAGCCTGTTAGGTACAGGAAACAAAATCACACACAGATCCTGCTTTATAACTGCAATGTGAAATATTAATCAATTCAAATATATAATATTAACAATAATAATAAATAATAAAAAATATTTATTAACATACTCACACTTAAATACATGATTAATGAATACTTACAAAAAATGTATATATATATATATTGTTTATTTGTAATATTTATTTGCACACGCTCTCAAATGTATATTTACACTATATATGTGTGCAAACTTGTGTAAAAAAAATAAATATATATATAAATATTTAAGTGTGTGTGTGTAAATGAATACGTAATTTTGTTATATGTTGTTATATTATATTTGCACATTATTGGCAGGATTTTATATATATATATATTTTTTTTTTTTACACAAGTTTGCACACATGTATAGTGTAAATATATTTTTGAGAGCGTGTGCAAATAAATATTACAATTTAAAAAAAAAAACATTTTATATATATATAGTTCCAAAGGTAGCCACGGCACTCTATATTTGGGCTAAATGCTCAGGTGCCCAAACACAAAGAAATCCATATAAATCTAAAATTGGTTTAGAGGCACTCAGGGGTCTCTGCAAGACCCGTGAGTGCCTCTAAACCAATTTAGGATTTTATATATATATATAAAATAGATTTATCTATCTATCTATATATATATATATATATATATATATATATATATCACAAAAAGAGTTTACAGCACAGTAAGTATACAAAGTGTACATAGCTAGTATTATAGCAACTTCAGGTATCCCTGTAACTATAAGTCTCCGTTCACACCAATGCGTTTTCTTAGTGCTTTTTGCAGAAACAAGCTACAGTCTATTTTACATGATTTCCTATGGAACATGTTCACATCTATGCTTTTTTGAGTTGCTGCATTTTTGGAAAGGGTCAGGGACTTTTTTAAAAGCAAAAAGGAATGTGTTTGCTACAATAGAGTTCAAAGGATTATCTGCTGAAATGCATGGTAGTGCATTTTTGCCGTGTTTTGCGTTTTGCTTTTTTATTCTGCCGAGCAATAAAAAAATTCCACTTTAAAAAAAAATGCAGTAAAATCGTGGCAAAAACGCACATAGAGAAACACAAAATGAACTGGAAAAAGCACTGCAAAATAGACAAAAAGCAAACTGCATAGGTGTGAAGGGAGCCTAAAGGGCAGGGATGTCAGAAGTTGCTATATTACTGGCTATAAGTGTATACTTACTGTACTATAAACCCTTTGTATTACATATTGATTAGCTACATATTGATTAGTTTGTACATATTGATTTAATTGCATGGATAGCTATCTTAAACTATATATATATATATATATATATATATATATATATATATATGTATACTGTATGTCTGAATCTGTCAAAGAGATGGACTGCACATTGTGTGTATTGGGTGCTGGGAACAGTCAGGCTCCAATCTGCCATTGCTAATCAATACCAGCTAGTCCCTGCATTCCCAATAGTTCCTTGCATAGTTACATAGTTAGTCTAGCTGAAAAAAGACAAAAGTCCATCCTTGTGCAATATTTACGTTCTTATCTATAGCAAACATGTTCTGTCATGTCTTTATTACTCTAAATAAAGAAAGTAAATATTGAGAAAGAAACGTTTGCCAGTGCAGTGACTTATATATAATATAATAATTATATAATATATACACAAAACAAAGAAAACAACAAAACTGGACTGCAGCACAAAAGAGAGCTGTATTTATTGCTCACACATAGAAAAAAACTATATCACAGCGGTGATGTTTCAGGCATCCCTGCCCTTTTTCAAGCTTGAGGAAGGGCAGGGATGCGTGAATGAAACATCACTGCTGTCATAAATTGAGCTCTTTTGCGCTGCAGCCCCTTTTGCTTTTTGTTTGTGGTGGTTACAGGGATGTACTAGGCTGCTGTTTGCCCTATATACTATATATATAATATATATATATATAATATTTATTTACACACTTGCACACACACAAAGTATTACACAAATGCCAAAAATCAAGTCTATCAGGAAACACTGGTATTAGTGATTAGCACTCAACCTGCAGCCCACGTTCAGGTGACAGACAGGAATATTTCCATTGGAATGTAATAAGTATAGAAAAAAAAGACCTTAGTATCATTATGCACATTGGATTCATAAAGTATTAAACTTTTAGCATCTATTATCATTCCAGGCAAATCCACTTTTCTTTTTGCAAATTTTGTGAAGGCTTAAAGCGTGTCTAAACCCAAGAACAAATAATGATAGTATTGTAGGTTACTGGTCATTATATGTGCTGGCTGCATTCGTTTTGTGTTTTCGCACTTTTTCCTTTTATTTTGCTTACACCGTTCCTGTCCTAGGGTGACTACTGTACTGAGCAGCTTTGTCACCTTAGGAAAGGGAGTGTGTTAGGACTTCGACTCCCTCTCTTCTCCATAACAGGGGAGGTGTTTTGTAGTCCACAGAGATAGCAGGGGAAAATGCTAACTGATAACAGTCAGAGGCAGAGATTATAGGAAGGTATTTGCAGTTGTTGAACAGTTATAATAAAACACTTCCATGGGGGAGAAAAAAAGAAAAATGTATTGTATGAGTTTACATACACTTAAACAAAGCAAAGTGCGGGAACCCATACCACCAATATCTGCCCGAAACACCTGGGAATACCCATTATAGCTGTTCCAAGATTATCCAATTTATTCTGCTATCACGGATCCAAAAATGTGGTTGATATGATAAAATAGCCTGTTCACTTAGCAAGGGAATTTTCCCTTAGCTTTGTGAATGTTGTGAAAATTCACTTTGCAGAGAATACCCAATCACAGGCAAGGAGAATAAAGTAAACAGAATTTTTGCTTGCACACAATTTTTTTTACCAAAATTTAGCAGAACTTCATCTCCTTCACCAAGCTAAATGAAAATTTCCTTGCAAAGTCAAAATTCCCTTAAAGAGCAAATAACCAATTTGCTTTTAGTAAATCAACCCCATATTCTGTTGTAGAAAATAAATGTAAGTGAAATATCACTCAATCTGTACACATAATACTAATTTACACACACATACACACACCTACCGCTTAAAGTATTCAATTCAATATTTTAGGTGGTATTATAATGCAAAATGCTTACTGCTAGCTTGTAAAGTATGATTATGCTGGTAGTTCACTAATTACATCTGCTTCTGCAGCGGTTACAGTACAAACTTTTTTACTAGAGCAAAACATAATCCTTTTTCTTTTGGAACTTTCTTTTTACTAAAGAAAGCAAAGTGCAATTTGGAAAGTGAAGGCACCCATAACCCCAATATAAGTCCAACACTCCTGGGAGAACATGATTGCTGTCCTGGGGTTATCCAATTTATTCCACTATCACAGACCTAAAATGCACAGCAAGGGTCAGAACCTGAGGAAGGGCTAACCTTGCCTGAAGCACTGTGCATCTGTGGACCTGTGATGGTAAAATAATTCTAAAAAGGCGGTGATGTGATGTGAAGGAGTTGGCACAGAATGGAACTCCAGAGCTGCCACATGACTACATTGTTTGCCTAACCCAGGGGTCTGCAAACTATGGCCCCCCAGCTGTTGAAGTACTACAAGTCCCATCTTGCCTCTGCCTCTGGGAGTCTTGCCTGTGGCTGTCAGAGTCTTGCATGGGACTTGCAGTTCCTCAACACCTGGAGGGCCATAGTTTGGAGACCCCTGGAACCCATAGAAAACAATCAATTAGCTTTCAGGGTTCTGTTCTTTCTCCTATAAACTAACTAAAACCTATAGTAACAGTGCAAGAAACATGCTAAGGGCAAACCTAAGTGAAGCAATCCACAGCAACCCATTACAACCTGTCAGTGCTCAATTTACTGAAGACAGATCAGAGTGTGATGTGTTTTCATTGGTTTCTGTGGGTACTGCACTTCGCACCTTGAACTGTTAAAATCAGCCTTTCTCAACCTTCTTACCCTTCAAGGAACCCTTGAAATAACATTAGGGTCTTGGGGAATGAATTATAGTTACAACTTATGGTATATTAGCATGATTGGTAACTTGTAGAAAGTTTTGAATAAACGAATATGGAATACCTAGATTATATACCCCATACATTGGTGCTCATTGTAGGTGGGAGGTAAATCTGTCACTGCTTCAAGAACCCTTAGCAACCTGTGGAACTGTGTTTCCAAACCTCATTCCTCAAGTACCCCAGACAGCCATGTTTTGGGAATAGCTGTAATAAATCCTAAGCCATTGACATCTATGCAAGGAGAAGGAAATCCCAAGAACATGACCTGTTGGGGGCACATGAGAACTGGAAACCACTGCTGTGGAGGAACCCTAGGGTGCTACTGAACCCTGGTTGAAAAAGCCTGGATTAAAGGAATAAGCCTTTAAATCTGATGCTAACAATGGGTTGTTATATTCTGCCCTACTCTTTGCATTACCCCATAATTATGACACCTTTTTACCAATGTATAGAATCTTAATGTATGTACTATATATATAAATTTGATGGGGAACACGTAATGCATGCTATACCGAGAACATGTTAGTCATCATTATCACCAAGCTTAACAAATTTGAAATTAAATCTCATTATTCAAAGTGAAAAGAGACGTCTACAAGTTTTACGTTGTCATTTTTGTGGTCACACTTTTCCAGTTCTTAGGGTTACATCTGGGAATCCCTGTTGGCTCTTGTAATAAAATTGCTGTTATGTTGTTTGTCTGTCCCCATGCCTAGTGTGACATTGGAGAAAGGTGTGCCGTGAAACAAGGTCCCAGAATCGGAAAGCTGTGTGACTGTTCCCGCGGATCGTCCTGCAACACTTTCCTGTTGAAGTGCATATGAAGAGAATCCATGTCATTTGCAGCCCTCGTGTTTACAGACCATATATTACCAACCTTTGTAAAGAGATCAATAATGCCATTTCTTGTCTGTTTACACCGTTCCTATTTACTTTTACAGCAAGCTCATATTCTATCAGTACTAGAAAAAGAAGTCTCCTTGTTCACAGCACACTAGAGGCAAAATGATGATCGCCAACATTGAACTAGTTTCAAGACTAGCTTTGTTTTTGTTCAGTCTCATCCTCTATGTCAAATATTGTAGATTATTTCCTAGTGAATTTAATATTATTTATTGAAGACATTACACTTACCTTGTTATTTTATCTTATATATGCACTTTCATAAATCAAGAATAAACTGTACAAGGAAAACTTTATTGCTTTAGTTATTGAGCATGCAATGTACTATGTTAATGTTGAACTTGCTCATAGTTGTATCCCCAACATGTAACTGTGCTTTTGCATATTGGGCATTTCTTCAAGCTCACCTATGCACACTAAACAATGCAGGAATAGGAGTATGCTAGCCATCCACTGAGTTGTGTCTTCCACTTGTACAAACCAGTAAGAAACGTCAGCAGAAAGTTTGTTGTACCTGTTCCCAGCGTTGCCGACATGCTGGAGCAATTATGGAAAGGTTAAATTACTTATTGCTTGAATTCTATGTTATGTTACATAAGAAGGAGTGTACTATCAGGACTGAGACTACACAGAAGGAGAAGAATATTATATTTATAAAGAGAGAGAGAGGGAGGGAGAAAGAGAGAGAGAAAAGAAAGAAAGAATGAGAGGGAGGGAGAAAGAGAAAAAGAAAGAGAAGGAGGGAGAAAGAAAGAAAGAAAGAAAGAAAGAAAGAAAAAAAGAAAGAAAGAAAGAAAGAAAGAAAGAAAAAGAAAAGAAAGAAAGAAAGAAAAAGAAAGAAAAAGAAAGAAAGGGAGAAAGAGAGGGAGAGAGAAAGAGAGGGAGGGAGAAAGAGAGAAAGAAAGAAAGAGAGGGAGGGAGAAGAGAGAAAGAAAGAGAAGGAGGGAGAAAGAAAGAAAGAAAGAAAGGGAGAGAGAAAGAGAGGGAGGGAGAAAGAGAGAAAGAAATAAAGAGAGGGAGGGAGAAAGAAAGAAAGAAAGAAAGAAAGGGAGGGAGGGAGGGAGAAAAAGAGAAAGAAAGAAAGAGAGGGAGAAAGAAAGAAAGAGAGGGAGAAAGAAAAAAAGAAAGAAAGAACAAAAGAAAGGGAGGGAGAAAAAGAGAAAGAAAGAAAGAGAGGGAGAAAGAAAGAAAGAGAGGAAGGGAGAAAGAGAGAAAGAGCTGTAGAAGGAGAGTGAGAATATTATATATATATAGAGAGAGAGAGAGAGAATATTATATATATAGAGAGAGGGAGGGAAAATATTATATATAGAGAGAGGGAGAGGGAGAATATTATATATAGAGAGAGAGAGGGAGAGAGAGAAATATTATATATATATATATAGAGAGAGAGAAATAGTATATATATATATATAGAGAGAGAGAGAGAGAGAGAGAGGGGGAGAGAGAGAATATTATATAGAGAGGGAGATTAAATATATATATATATATATATATATATATATATATATATATACAGAGAGAGAGAGAATATTATATATATATATATATATATATATACAGCTGTGTTCCAAATAATAGCAGTGTGTTGAAAAAAGTGAATAAAGCTCAAAATCCTTCTAATAGCTCTTATTTCCATACACACAAATGCATTGGGAACACTACACATTCTATTCCAAATCAAAACATGAAGAAAAATATATCAAATTTGTGTTGTTCCTCTACAAAAATGAAGAAAAGTGAATATTAGACTGTATTATTAGACTAATATTAGAATATTAGAAAATTAGAATATTCAAAAAATTAGCAGTATTTGTATTCTTCTTTACAAACTCAAACATTCACTATATAAACTGAAAAATGTTTGAAGATTTTGCTTTCCTTTGAATCACTTAATGAATATTTCGTTGTATAAGCACTGTTTCTGAGAACTGCTGTACATCTGTGTTGCATGGAGTCAACCAACTTCTGGCACCTGTGAACAGGTATTCCAGCCCAGGATGATTGGACTACATTCCACAGTTCTTCTCTATTTCTTGGTTTTGCCTCAGAAACGGCATTTTTGATGTCACCCCACAAGTTTTCTATTGGATTAAGATCCGGGGATTGGGCTGGCCACTCCATAACGTCAATCTTGTTGGTCTGGAACCAAGATGTTGCACGTTTACTGGTGTGTTTGGGGTCATTGTCTTGTTGGAACACCCATTTCAAGGGCATTTCCTCTTCAGCATAAGGCAGCATGACCTCTTCAAGTATTCTGATGTATTCAAACTGATCCATGATCCCTGGTATGCGATAAATAGGCCCAACACCGTAGTATGAGAAACATCCCCATATCATGATGCTTGCACCACCATGCTTCACTGTCTTCAGTGTACTGTGGCTTGAATTCAGTGTTTGGGGGTCGTCTGACAAGCTGTCTCCGGCCACTAGACCCAAAAACAACAATCTTACTTTCATCAGTCCACAAAATGTTGCGCCATTTCTCTTTAGGCCAGTCAATGTGCTCTTTGGCAAATTGTAACCTCTTCAGCACATGTCTTTTTTTCAACAGTGGGACTTTGTGGGGGCTTCTTGCAGATAGCTTGGCTTCACATAGGCATCTTCTAATTGTAACAGTGCTCACAGGTAACTTTACACCTTCTTTGATCTTCCTGGAGCTGATTGTTGGCTGAGTCCTTGCCATTTTGGCTATTCTTCTATCCATTCGAATGGTAGTTTTTCACTTTCTTCCACATCTTTCAGGTTTTGGTTGCCATTTTAAAGCATTTGCGATCATTTTAGCTGAGCAGCCTATCATTTTCTGCACTTCTTTATATGTTTTCCCCTCTCCAATCAACTTGTTAATCAAGGTATGCTGTTCTTCTGAACAATGTCTGGAACGACCCATTTTCCTCAGAATTTCAGAGAGAAATGCAATGTAACCAGCATGTACAACATTTGCTGCCTTCCTTCCTTAAATAAGGGCAATAATTGCCACCTGTTTTTCAAAGAATGAATAACCTCACTAATAGAACTCCACACTGCTATTATTTTGAACATGCCCCTTTCAATTAGTGATTCAATTACACAGAATCAGCAGCATGCATGTCATGACTGTTGGGTCTTCTGGATTTCTATTACTCTACTACACCTGCTAGTAAATTATTTGCCATGTAGAAATATCATTTCTACCAAAAACAGTGATTGATCAGGTTAGTGATATCTGACTCTATTATTTTGAACACAACTGTATATATATATACTGTATGTAAGAAATATATTAGGGTTTATTCATTAAAATAGCACAAAGTACAGTAACCTATACTAACCAATAACATTTCACTTTGCAGATCATAAAAGGGAATGCTAATTGGCTTTTTTTGGTTAATATACAGTTATTTCACCATATACCAATGGAAGATTCAACCCAATAGCATCTACTCAAACCTCAAACAGCAGTTTTGGGTTGAATAAACCATTTAACTTTGAATTGAATCAACTCAGTTGGCTATACTGAAGGAAATTCATATTTAGTAGCATTATTAAGGCTTCTGTAGACCAAAAAAGTCATTTACAAAAGTTTCCTCTAATAAGCATAGATTAGCTCATTTGCTCATAGTCCGCTCTAGCTCTACACATCTGTTTTCTCTTCAAACACCCAATTATGCCAAAAACAATTATATTTGTTTATTTTTCTGCTTCACTTGAATTTGACTTTGAAATATACAAAGGTATGTAGATCTAGTTTTGACTGCCTTCTTCCTAATAACATACATTATATACTTTGCAGGTTTTAGACCTTAGAGAAAATTAATTTATGATCTACCCAGAAAGATATATAAAAAGTGAAAACATAATTTGCTTTAGAGATAAATATCTAACATAGTACAATTCAGGGAACCAGGGGAATGTAAAGAATTGTGTCCTGAAACCTATTGCCAGCCACAAAATAGGACTTTTTTTTATTACAATGCCTTTTCCGGGATATATCCTGCTCTATTAAAAATTCATTTGCAGTGGATTTTAAACTATAGTTTGATAACAAGGGTCTATGTTTTAAATCCTAAAGTATAACAAGATTTTTAATGAAGGAAAATCCCAATGTAAGGGCTTGTTGGCAGGGGCGTTAAAAGCAGGTAGTTGAGCCTTGGTTTTATCGCCAGCCCCCCCTCCCCTGTCACCCATCTAAAGAAGGGCAGGCAACCATTCAGGGATGTACACAGATGAAGACACATGCTGCATTTGCTGTGCAGTACCACAACCTAATGCAACCCATTTAAACATTTAAAAAATGGCCATATGATTGCAACGTGGTGGTTCAACTTTTTTAGGGTTACAACAGAAGGTAAGGAGGCAACATATCACCTCCTCAACACCTGTCAAACACCCACTGAAAAGGGATCCAGTGCAAATTGCTTTTCAGACTGGAATGAGTCCTAAAGCTTTTATTGGTTCTGCATCTAAAGGTGTGTTCATCCATTGCCACACCCTGTTATAGACATAGGCAGGGCCAGTGCTAGACTATTTTGCACCCTAGGCAGGACCAGCTACTTGCACCCCCCCCCAAAAAAAATAATAATAAAAAACTTCATCTGTAGTTCTACTTGACCCCTCCTTACACATGCAACCTCTTTCCCCTCAAATTTTGCAACCTAGCACAAATCCTCTCCCCTCAAATCACCCCTAGCGTCGTCCCCTAGCATAAATCCCCCCAATCCCTCCTTCTAGCACAACCCCATCCAAATAATCCTTCCCAGCACAAATCTTTCCTCCCCACCCAAATCCCCTCTCATTGCACAAGTTCCCTTGTTCACCCCCTCCTAGCACAATCCCTCCCAATCCCCCTCCCTCCTTCAGTGACTGCTCATCTCTCGGCAGAAGGGAGCCAGGGAATGAATCAAACACCGAACATGCCGATGTAAGAGTGACCCTGTGTCAT